TGCCTTGAAAACTTCATCCAGTTAATAAGACACCAGCAGTGTGTTATGTCAAATAATCTTATGCAGTGTGGATTAACATCGTGCCACAGCTGACAATTTTATATACAAATTAGGTATAGATTCACCTACTTCATCTGCCCAAACAGTGGTTCAGTTATATCTACAAAATTAACATTGAATATGAATGGCAGCAAAACATTCTCAAGCGCAATCACCAGCCATCTAATTGAGATGAGACACACAGTGAAAATTAGTCAGGCTTTAAAAATAATCGATGCACAGATGCATACAGAAAGAACTTCGCCCCTTAGTCTAATTACTATATAAATAGTTACACTGTTAACACTAAGTATATGTCTGCTTAAATCATGTTTGAAATTACGTTGATTATACTGTCTATCTATAACTTGAAATCATTGTAAACAATATATTCAGAAATTTTGTAACTTATAATTGATTAATTTAGGATGCACGCAGTTGAAGGGAATCCACGAAATAAAGCGAACTCGTATGAACCTGCAAATTTGTACATTTTTCCTTCCTTCAAAAAAATAAATAAAACAGGTTGAATGAAACTTTGCACATATATTATATTGTAAGTGCATCATTCGCTATTATTTGTTTACGAATGAATGAATTTGTCATCCTATGAAAAGTGAAATTTTCTTAACAAGATTAAATGTTTTATTCGATTTTACCTTCATGAGTTGTACACTGTAAGCAGGCAGCTAAATACAATTAGCTTGAGTTCATTTTGTAATTTCGCAGGGATTTTTGTTTGATTACATGGAGGATTTCATCATGAGCTGACATCAGTTAGAGAATCACTGGAAAACCTGAAAGTACTAAACAGCTCTTTTGTCCTAGTTTGATGCTCTTCAGCAGAACGCACCAACCAGGGTTCTAAGTGAATCTAATTGGTTTAATTAAATGTCCAAAACTAATAACCTCAGTAGGATGTATGGTGTTGTTAAAGTTCGTACCCTATTAGACCTATAGTTGATTTTAAAAATTCACCTAATTATGAATTATCTAAATATTTAGCCATGGTAATAAATCCCCAAATAAACCATTCGAAATCTATGCTTACAAATTCTTATGAACTAAAACGTAGATTAGATAATTTAAAATTAGATAGTGAAGAGAAAAGGGTTTGTTTTGCCATTGTCAGTTTATATACACGTATACCAATAAATATGGCTATAGAGGCAGTCAGAAACGAATTCATTTCTGACCAAGAACTCGAACTTATGACAAAAGTGCCACTTGAGGACATGATGCTGAGAGTGCAGCTATGTCTGACTTCCACAGTATTTAAATTCCAATGTAAAATCTGCAAAGAAACTGAGGTAAGTGCCATGGGATCACTAATGCAGACTGTTCCACATCTAGGTGGAAGCTGGCTTAATAACCAATCTCACTATCTTCCAAATAATTTGGCGGTAGCTTCATTATTGTTCCTCTGAAAATAATGACCACATCAAAGGAATTAATAGATTACTAATATGTGTTTTACAAATTTCTGCAAACAATATAATCCTTCTCTGCGTCTAAATATGATGTACTTTTCCTGCAGGATATATCATATTTGTTTTCATCGATCTCCATCAATGGATAAGCTGATTTTTCTCACCTCAAAACAGAATTTCTTCTAGTTTTCTTCGTTTGGTTTCTAATAATAATCCTCTTTGCAGAAATATATACAAGTTTTGAATCATGCATACCGAAAACTGACGCGTTGACGAACAAAACTTTTCACTTTGATTTTCATTTAACCGACTAAACTGATTCCTTAAACGTAACACGCTTATTTCATTACGCACTATTCTCTTTCAGATTCTACATTTTGAAGATATTCACAAAAATAAGTTAACCATTTCTTCCTTTTGTGGACTGGAAAGCGCGTTTTTGGATTTATCTCTATTAACAAACATTACTGTTTTGTGTAAAGAAAATTTCCTTACCATCTTATTAGCAAATAATAATAATGGTTTACTTTATTCCAAAAACAGTACTTGTGATACAGAATGCAATTTTCAGCATTTATAACAATATTGCATCTAATTTCTCCAACTTATAAATAAAATTAATCACACAGAAAATTTTCCACATTCACAATAAGGGTAATGTCAAAATGCAGCATATAAAATGGAAATAATAATAATGATAACAGCTAAGGTAATAATAATAATACAAGTGAAAATTGCCGTGGGCTTGTTTCACACAGTATTGTCGATGCGGCTTAGAAATCCTAGCATGTTTAAGAATATTAAATGTATTGTTCTCTTTACATGATATGGTGAGGGGAAACACAAAGATTACATCAGTCACAAAAATAAGTTGGTATTTGCAATTATGAAAGTAAAAAACAAAGAAGCAACAGGACCATAAATATTCTAGAAATAATAGAAGTAAAACTTGAAGGTATTTAAGGATGGATGGAAGAAATTGTTTATTTTCTAGATGAAAAAGGTTAGTTACGTGCCAAGTATGGTATCATAATATTTTTATACTTAGACGTGCGAGCATACAGTTTTCTGAAGTTACTTCTTTTTCTACCTGAGGAGATGCAAGGTGAAAGCTGAGGGTAAGGTGGATGCTCCAAGTCAGACAAAATCCGTTTAGCAAATTTACTGCACGAAGTCAAATGCCTATCGACAACGACGTTAACTATATAGTCCACTGGGACACCACTCACCCTACTGACCGTCTTCAGCGTTCTACGCATTGTGACATAGTCTTTTTTAAGCAAACCAGGAAAGAATAAGGGTGAACAATAAAGAAGAATAGGTAGGATGCAGGAGTTTATGAACCGTAAGAGGAGGGGTTGAGTTATACCCGAGTGCCTTAACTTCTTAATGTAAAATGTCAGGCGGAATATTTTACTGGAGATCGCTGAGACATGGGAAGACCAGGAGAGATCAGAAGAGAGAATAAGTCCAAGATACTTAATTTCTGATTTAATTACTATATCATTGTCGTCAATATTACAACTGTCATGAGAATCGACAACTTCTTTTAACTGTCTTTTACATCTTAAGCTGAAATTTAACAGTTTGACATTTAGAACGATTTAGTTTAAAACCGTTAGACTCAGAGCATTTACTGACTCCCGACAGAAAGCTATTTATTTCGGTACTGTCTAGCTGGGAGTTAACAGCCACTGAAACTGTTAAATCATCAGCGTACTTCACAAAGTTTTTAAAGTTGACACTTTTTATCCTGTCTCATTCGTTTCCAGTGTAGCCTCCGGAGTGATTATCCTACATGCAACCTAGTTTTGGCAATCTTTTCACTTCAGCGCGAAAAAATCAAGAAGCTTAGCGAAGATATCTTGTCGCTCACGTTACCCTCGTTTGCTGAAAAATTACATTTTTTACAGAAGTTAGCACTGTTACAATGATTTTTTCATTTTACATGGTAAACAGTAGATAATAAAGGTAATTATACAATTTTAAAGGATGAATCGCAAAAAATATCTTTACAAAGCCTCTTATTTTTAATCTCTTTAATATCCCCAAGGATCTTTTCCAGGTTCATCTTTTTTCTGTGTGATATCATTAAAAGTGAACCGTATGAACAGGAATGAGTTCTAAATAACTGCTCAAGATCACACTTCAGCTGGTATATCGTCCTTGAATTACAGTCGTATATCTAAAGGCTTCTTGTGTACCGATAGTGACTATTACTTTTCCACTTTCTTTGTCATGAGTTTCTTGATAAATTTGTTGGTATAGCTATTTTCAGTCAAGGTATCATGCACAATGACTGTAACTTGCTAAAACCGATGGTTCGCTTCTAAGTATTTGTAAGTGTACATACTTGAGAAACGATAAACACACTGGCACGTATTAGTATTATCTTGATGTTGTGGAAGCCTACATTACAAGATAAATATTATTTTCTCTCCTGCACTATTATCATGTCTTTGAATCCAATACAATATTTTTACTTTCTGCATTGCTACTCTTGATTTCTTTGTGGATCTTCGTACATTTTTAAATAAAATGTAATGGACGATGAGTTATTCGCTAATCATATTTTCCTTATTTGTTTGATTTCCTTATTTAAATCTTGTGTCATGCTAGTTAGGCTTCTATCTAAACTACATAAACACTTGACTAAACCTACCCTTGTCGACTTTTGACGTGATGAATCAAAGTTTGAGTACTTATTCAAGGTTATTAGTTTCCACTGAACCTGTTCAGTTCATTTTGCAATTCCATAGTCACCTAGATCCCACCTACTGCTGAATTCGGGTATGATGAAATTACGGAAGTGTTCAGATTGTAAAGGAATGAGTGTGTTCTACTCACACATCCAGTATAACTTCGGAGGAGTATCAAATAATTCAAGACTGTCATCTTCCCAAATAACTGTTAACGTATACATTCTGTGAGTGAGAATATCGGTGGCACCTTCACGATTCATTATGTTTGCTTGTATATTTCATTTTGAAATTTGGATACTTTGGATGCGAGATATAATTGCAAATCTTATGTCAGAAGTTAAACCGTGATTGTATAGCTGTATCTGAGTGAAGGAACAATGGTTAGCACTTTACCAACTGGTTTCAGAGTACTGTTAGTCGAAACATTATCAAACAATCTTATCTCTTCAAAGGCAATAAAGATATGTTTATTCATCGAAATATGTGAAATATAATCTCGTCGTGAATGTTCTGATTTAATCAGCTTTGCTGACAACACTCGAATGAGAACGATGAATCCATTTGGTAGTGCTGTGCTGCTTTAAGCCCATTATTTGATTTCAGACATACGAGAGGTGGATCGTCCTTTGATTCAATCAATTGGAAAGATCAGTGACCTTCGATTCAAAGCATAAATCAGATTATCCACTTGAAGGTATTGGCTGATTATCATTTTGCTTATCACAGTGTTGCGTAGCATGCATATACCTAATCTTATTGTGCTTATGTGTGAAAGGAGTAAATAAACAACACATATATAGTTCAATGATTTTGACCACAGTTATTTCATCTGAAATTTAAAAACACTAAGAAACAATACGGACTCTGACCGAATAATGTGAGGTGATCGTGTCGATTATTTCGTTGAACAAAGTTAAAATACCTATATGAAATTGTGCGAAAATATTTTCTGGCGGATACACTTCGGAGCCAGTAGTTTCGTTGTGTAAGTCGATCACTCCTATTTCCATTTTGATAATCTTGGTTGGTTTAACTTATTCTTGAATTAACTTGAACAAATTTTATCTGGTGTCCAGATTAGCTTTTTGTTGATCATGTCTGGACTGGCTTGTTTGATACACCTATCCTGACCGAACAGACTAGTGAAGAGTTAAGCAGAAATTCATAATAGTTATCAAGTATAACAACGGGGATTATTGAAATATTGTGATAACTACTCAGCTACATGTACTAGTTTAATATATAAGATGTTGAATCCTGTGGCACTGCCTTAACTTTTACTCTTTTTCCTTACTGTTGCTGCATATTTTATTGAATATAACAAATGAATTAAACTGGGTCATTTAAGCGTAAATGCTTTCAAATTACAAAATCCTAAGGTTTTTTGAGATGGCTTAATTTAAAGTTGTTTATCGAACGTCAACATACGTTTAACGCAGTTACTATAGTCTGTAAAATTCTAAAAGCAATAAAAGGGCGCGAGTTGTGTAAAAGGTGTAATAAATTTGAGCAACATAATTCGAACATTTTAGTGTATGCAATTTGTTAGGATTCGGAATGATTTCATTTCAGCTGTAAGGTTTCACTATCTACTAATATCAGTCTCCTCTCCATCAGTGCATACCCGCCATCACACATGACCACCATAGAGATGCCCGGAAGCAGTGTTAAGAAGCCGTGACCAGTGGGATGGTCCATTATGTTATGGTCAAGTGGATGCTCAGAAGAAGCAATGCTGACATTAGCACTGCAGAAGCAGTTGACAAATGTAGAATATACTCGTCACTGGATTCTATTTGAAGTGGCTAAATGGTCGAAGAGATCAGTTCTGTTACTCAAAGATCCTAGGTTCTGTCCCTGGTGAAATCGTGTTTGGCCCCTTGTGCCAAACAGGACGAAATGAATGTCAGTAATTTTTAATTTTTGAAGCTTATATACCAAGTGAAATCAGAGTTTGACGAGTAAAAGTTCAATGAATATCGGTGGAAATTTTCTATAGGTCAACATAAAAAATATGGCATGAGAAATGAAAGCGACTAGAAATCCCATTGCGTAGAATGTAACTTTATTTTCAGATTGAATTACCAATGCATTATAAATCACAAATAATTATTAAAAGCACAACCCATGAAAACCTCTTTATAGATAAATCGTCTGAGGATTAAAATATATGATTCTAACCAGTTTTATATGCAGATATATATTGAAATCAACTTTAGCCACTGTTGCCTTTGAGTGTCTTTTCATTAAGAAACTGGTGAAATGGATTTCTGGTGTTTAGATGACGTTGATCTGATTAGCATACAGTAGTGTTTGCTATCAGTCGTATACAACTAGTCACCTCAGTCAATCAGCAGTATATAATTGTATGCAAATACGCTTGCTTTCTTGACTACTTTTAATTGTGTCAAGCAGTTCAAATGCTGTAATATGAATAAATCGGTTTCCAAAAGTAACTGTGGTGAGGTTTTACCTCCTTGAACTGCGTAAATCACAAATCGCCATATAATTTGCGGATGATAAATTTAATTTGGATACAGTTTCGTCAACATGGGCTTTCAATAGGCAGGCTATCCCATACACACATTATGTCTTTGGTTTATGAATAGATCGGTCAATGGTAAGCACTCATTATTTTCTTGAACACATTCTGACAAAATAAACTATAAGAACAATAATCGTTGTAAACTCGTTAATGTTTATTTTACTTCAATCGTGTTGTCAATAGTGTTTTTCTTTTCAAATTTCAGAACTTTAAGAAATGGTCCTTTTCAATATATTGTCTGTTTATTTGACTTACAATAGTCAAAAGGAACAGAGAAGTCCCACCAGCTTTTATGTTTGGGTAAGAATATCGTTTTCTGTTAAGCAGTTTTCTTTATTCTTAGTTCATAGTAGATTTACTCATCATGATACTTACGACAGTAGGTGCTATGGTCTTATATAATACAGTGTAAGATGAAATGAGAATAGTCGATTAAATAATACTTTCATTTGCAGGAAACCTATAACCACTTTCTTCGACAGTCACAGTTATATGGTACTGATTATTTTGTAAGTTCTACTTTCAACAATAGTCCTTAAACTATGGATTAACTCTTATACATAATGACAAGTGGAATTAGACTATGATACTTCTAATTGTTTCTCTGGGTTACAAGTAGAAGTAAGGTGCTCCAGTTCACCAGGCTATCCATCGTCCCTTCAAGCTGGTTACGTTATTTTGATGAATCACACAGTGTTGTGCAGTATTAACTGACGAGCTTTTGGGCGCAAATTATTGCTCATCTTTTGAATTACACATTGTTGTCATAATCATGTAGTAGATTAGCTCCCACTCTATTAGAGCTTTAGGCGCTGTGAACAACATCACGATAGCCACTTGCGTGGTGTGCTTGTGTTCGTTTTTGAATGAACGAGGTAGACTGTTGAATCCGCAGTTAACATTTTACAGTGCCCAATTCCATTCCACTTGGTCCCGAAAATTCCAAACACTTTTGTGCTGTCTTATTTCTCATACAATATGAGCAGGCTCCTAGATTCAAACATCATGTGGAAATTCCATGTCTCCATGCTTATTTTTGTTTTTATATTAAGAAGACACATAGGCTGACTAACTTTCAAAGACTTTCACCAGACCACATCATTTCTTCTCTATAATCGCAGTGAACAGCACTGTTGTTTATTATACTATTTATATTAATATTACATTATATCTACGAGGAGAATGAATGACTGAATTCATGAAGAACGGAGTGAATGTAGAACAGTATATTTGTTACATGAGCTTCAATTCAACCGATTGCCATTAGCGCATTGTATTGATTAGTGGACGAATCAACGTTCGGTATTTCTGGTTACTATATTTGCCTTGGGATGCATTAATCACAATAAAGTTTAATCTTAATATAATCTGCTTCTTGTTCAGAATAATTTATGTTGCCATTTATAAATCCCTTTCAGTTCAGCCGGTGCTGTTCTATTATTTCTTTGTGTGTTCGTGACAAACATTCAATCGAATTATCTTGCTGTTCGTATACTCCTTGGAATTGTAGTGAGTGTTAATTTTATTCAATTCTAATCTCAAGTAAGAAGATTCACAAAAATATGTTCCAAGAAAATGAACGTCAACTGTAGCGTCTTGAAAACTCACATGTTCATATTAAGGCGGTCGAAGTAATCATATCTGCTCTTCTGAGAAAATACGCTTACTATCTTTGTGATTTCCATTAAAAGCGTTTTCACAAAGATTCTATGCCCTTACAGTGAACCTATAAGAGGGATTTTACGGTAGAATAAGACTGTTTTGAAGATGCAAATCCAGGTGACAAAGATATGTTAAAGGAGTTCTGAAAGCTGTCTGAATGGACGATGAAATACAATCTTGTGGAAAAACCAGATTACCAGTAACTCGATATATGATATATATATATATATATATATATTAGAAACTCATGAACTGCGAGTATGTTTAAATTCAATTTAAACTGTTTCTGAAATCAGCGGACTTTCATGTAATCATGGATAGATCGTAGGCTGGTTCGAATTTCATATATGTCAATCACTTAAAGAGCAAAGAAATTTAGCTGATAAATTAAATTCATCACAAATGAAGGTGGTTAACAAAATTAATTGTCGCATGTTGACTCATCCAGGTCTTGTCGTTATGATAAAGTGACTCTTTTGTGTGGTTTCAATTTACGGTGGTAACTTTTATTGACAAACTTGGAACACTTCCTGCGTAAATGAATTCTTTCCGCGTGGTACATGTATTTGATGAAAATACAGTGATACAATATTATTTACTCATGATGTTTCAAGTGCAACTAACTTACCATAATAATACCAAGGCAGCAATATTAGCGATATCTCTGGGATCATCGCAATGTCACTCCTATTGAACATGTTAGATGCAGATTTGATGAGTGAAGATTCAGTAGTGAACCTCTTTCTCCATCTAATTATACTACTTTTTAGAACTGTGGATCTCACCCGCCTTATTGTGTGGTTCTGTATTCATGCATCTGTCAGTTGTCCGGATGAACAACTGTAAAGGTACCCACTTCAAAGACAGCCAACTCATAGATCCTGAACCTGACGCTAATGCCGGACGACTAATCGTTGCAGATGAGAATGCTTTTTGCCGTTACCTAATATAGAATATCACGAAACAGATTGGACTATTTGTTTCTTCGCCGATAATGAATCAGGACTACAGGGTCGCCACGCACAAAGGCCATGAATAAACACCACTCTAAACAGCAATACTACTTCTGATCGTTTTTCTTTAGTCTTTCGACAAACAGCATCCGACCTGTCTATTACCATTATAGTTGCCTATCGTCTGAAAGGAGATTCGTTAGAATAAACAAACCATATTGTTACTCATTCAATGTTCACCGAAATTTGCAGCATTCATTGTTATGACGGAGTTATTCCCTTAATGATTTGTTATCGTGAGATCAATCATTTTACAAGTAGCTATTTATATTTTCGATAACCTGACTACCCCTAATCTACTGACCTGACTTATGTAGTTGACCATAAAATCATTACAATAATATTTTGTAGACTTTCTGTTCAGTCCCGTAAAGTGCTTTAGCCCACACAGTTTGTCCCTCAGTTAGTTTGTAGGCTTAACCGCTAATATGATTACCGCTTGGCTAAGAGTCCTACCCATGGTTTAAGCTGCCCCTGTTTTGTATAAAAAGTTGACAATCTCTCTAACTCGAGCTACAGTCAGTGTTTCCACCACTTTATTTACTATTTTTCTGTTCTTTTTAATCTCCTAATGAGATAGTTGTTTGGCAACAACGTTTCTTCTATCTGTTTATTAGCATTATTTACTCTATGAAGAATTTTACCACGGTAGTAGAATCCGAAATCTAAATAGGAAAAACAGGGTCTCCTAATAAGTTCACTTTTCAGTAATATTGATGCATAACTTATCAGTTACTTATGGATTCAAGTAGATAGGCTGGTTTTTTGAGTAGCAAACTGGTTGTTTCTCATTTCTGACTGATAATATTATAATCGCTTATCCTTTAAAATAATGTAGGTATAATATGCCACTTGAAACGGACATAAGGCCCAAAATATCTTCTCATTTTCTTGGCGGTAACTACATATCCTTTCATAACACAATTTTAATTTTAATATCCTCTTCCTTGCAGGTTTTACTGTGGTCTGTCAGTTTCGCCACTGAATTTCAATCTGTTCAAACAAATTTTGTATTTGCATTGTTATCGCTTGGTGTGACAGTTGTAATAACGACAATAGCAGCTGTTTCTGCTTTGAAATTACCACCTTTAAATGAAAAAGGCTTTGTCGTTTTCACTACAATATCAATGCTCCTTGCACTTCCAGCAATCATCGTAAAGATATGCTGCTATTTAATTGAACGAAATGTAAATTTGATGAGAACATTTTAATTCAAATGATATAAAGCATGTAAACCTGACATTTATAGGTTATGAAATATGTTAAGAATGTTCGTGAAGTTTTTTTCGTAATTCCTTTCGACAAAAAAGTGTATTTTGTTCAAACTTCTCCAAATCTGAACATAAGGTGTCCAGCAATGTATTTATACAGCCTTCTGGTTATTTGTCCCTAAATCTCCATAGCAGCAGCTAAATTTATAAATAGAGAAACGAAACAGCTAGGTAGCTTATCTTTCACTTGAGCATTCATAATTGGTTGGCTGAAAAAGGATAAACAAAGAATGATCAATTTTTCAGCTATGAGTTCTCCTTCAGGCCTAAACTGAGACAGATTATTACCACACAAATTTGAAGACAGCCCTTTGAATCATGTAATGTGTAAACTAGATTCTTATCAACATCGTTGTAACGATGCGTTTATTATTCCTATTCGGAAAGCAGACAAAGCGTGATTTTTATGGGTATTAGCTGATATGTTATATATATCCAAACCAAGTTCACTTTTCTAACAGTTTGAAAAACATTGGGCATTGGGTATATGATATTCATTATTATAAAGGTTTCCGTATTTCCCAATGAAGAAAAAACAAAGCGATATTCTTTTTACTGACGTTTCGCTATTTACTGATAAAAGCTTTATCAAAATATTTCTAAGAAGAATATCGTTTTGTTTTCCATTCATTGGGAAAAACTAAAACCTTTATTATTAGTGGAGGTGATTGCAAATTACATTCTATGAATGTTCAGCTGGGGAGAAGAGATGTTCATGGGAAAACTTTACCTGTAGGACAGTATACGCAGCCCTTCAGTCTTGTTTCCATCTCATACAAAATCAGCATGGTCAGATGCCTCAGAAATAAGGAAAGAAAAATCTGCCTAGAATACAGCTTGGAAAATGATTAAGAAAACATGCATACTACTCCTGGCAAGTTATTAAAATGGACTGGTCAGTAGACATATTATAAAGGTGAAGGAAAAAAGAAACCGACCACGTTTAGAAATAAACCGTTTCTTCTGAAGCGACAATGCTGGTAAATCTCTACATCTAAGACTATCTAGCGCTAGAAAAAGGGATTTATTCTGCTTGCACCCATGGATTTTACTTGCCGCCTCAAATGAGAAATAAGTTACTTAACTGTACCATTTCTATAAACATCTAATAATTTTCGTGATCATATGTAGAACGCTAAATATGAAGCGATCAACTACAAATGCCATGTCGATTACCTTTCTTCATGGTTCGGAGAATGCCAGAGAAAATCTACAAAAAGCTCATTTTTGTCTCACTTGACTGACGTCGATCAACAAGTGAACGGAACAGATTCTAAGTTTCTCTAGAATGCAAACTGGAATACCCCCTTACTGAAAACAATCCGATTTATGAGCTGACCACCATGACTAAATTCAATCACACTGACACATGTGTTATCACCTCAAATGGTCAAAACTTGCTGGATTTGTAGTAACATTCAATAAATCGCAGATTCCACCGTTCAAACTGCAGCCATAATCGAAAATTGTTTATCTTGTTGATAAGAATTAGTTATTACAAGAACTCTGAAGTGACAGGATAGGAGCTTTTATGAAATATCTTGACAAAAATGCAGATAACTTTACTGTCACGCATTGTATACATCCCCACCACTAGCATGAGATATGTTACCAGCATAAAAATAGTACTATTTTATGTATGTACATACGATATTTACGAATGGATTTGAATAAAGCAGCTAATGGATATTCCTTTTATTCTTTCCATTTTCTAGAATCAAATATTCTGCATTGTGGCAGCAATTCTTATTGGATTATTCATACTCTTTGTAAGTCATCAATTTAACCAGTGTAATCAGCGTATTTACATATAGAAAATCAGAAAATTTTGGTAACCACAGCATCGTTAAAAATTTTTTAAATTCTCTAAAGTTTTCAGTAGCATATAGGCACTCTAGATCAAAGACTGAAGACTAAGCAATTATGCATTTTTCTATGGGCTTGAGTTATTATTCTTTTGCCTAACCTCTTCTATTCACTAGATTTACTCCCTGCTAAGCAAAGGTTGAGAGTGAGTAATTGAACCCAAGCCACGGGTATAGTAAACGGAGATTCTACCACTGAACCATTGATGCACCGAGAATGGTGACGTGGGAAATTTAAAGTAGTCAAATATTGATTATCGCAAACACCTGAGAAGGGAAAAATTGTTCTGAAAATAGTTCTGCGCTATGTGCGTTTTACTTAAATCCTAAAAGTAACGCAATCTGAAGGCAAACAACGACTGAATAATCACTACGCAAGTGGTTGGGTCTTTTCAAATTTATCCCTCTAACTAGGTTTTATTTCTGTGATGAGGTCATTAAACGTAGCAGCTCATCACTATGTTGGTGCCACAGTGGTTAGGACTCTTGCCCACCATGCACATGGTCCGGGGTTCGATCCCCTGCCGACGCACACCTGATATCTCTGGTCGGCTTGCAAAAATTGGGCTACCGATATCACACCCTGAAAATTCCATACTTGTACCAAAAATACTGTGTGTAATCAAGCCGTAATCAAAAAAAATAGTAATGTAGTTCAGTCTCAACCAATGAAGAAGATATATATTTTATATTAAAAACTGTATCAGAATAGGAATAATTAGTAAGACCATTTTTCTCAATGTATTATTCTTCTTCAGGTTTTACAGTTATAAATCCACCTATTTTAGCATACAATAGCGTCAGTAAAGGCAAATTAGGATGATATGCCAGAAAGTGCATTGTGAAACAAGTACAAGATGAGATGGAATAATAGTCAGATAGTTTTGATTATCATTTAAAATTGATATGGTCAATAAGAACATGAGATAAAATTTAGTGAATTAATTAAGGGATGTATGCATATATATTCAGACAAAAAAGTGCAAGATTCAAGGGTGAGTGTCGTTAGTGGTGTGAGAGACAATATGAACTACTGCGGAGAAGTAAACGGACAAACGGGATAGGGTTACAAATAAAACTAATATTCACAAATGCAATAATGATGGTGTGATGTTGATAGTGAACAACAGCTAGGTAATGAGGAATCCAATAAAGTCGGATGAACCGGATTTTGTAAACACAACAACCTAATTTAAAAGCAGTACGTAAACTCAGGATCTGGACATACTAAGGGAGGTCATCAAGTCGTAAAATGTTTCATTGGCATATATTTACTCCGGCCCTTTACTACTTCGTAACATGTAGCCAGTGTTCAAGAGACAACGAAAACTTAGTTTGCCCTTCGACAATAGGGTATCCCCCGTATTTTGCTCAATCTTAAAAGCATTTTGCACTCGTAACTGTTTCGCAAAGATTATACGTCCATGGATTGCTAACACGTTCAACATATTACTAAATCAAGAATTTGTCAGAATTACCAAAATGCTGTACGTATTCAGCGTTGATTTGTGTGTTTTTGATTTTGAAACAGCAGAATAATTAGTGGTTTAATCCACTTTCTCATATTTATTTTATCATTTTAGGCAATGTTCATTTGTCTTAGTTTACGAAAATGGATAGCGTGGTGGTTTTCACCTAATCCCATTGAATTTATTCTAGCTTTCACTGTTTGGTTTTTAATGATATACCTGTTCACACAAATATACACTAGCATACTTCCTAGAAGTGGCAATTCCTTTTAAATATATGAAAAAACAGGAAATTTTACAATGTTTTGTGGATTATCTTTTTGTTCAATGGTTAAATAATAAATACTCTACTGAGAAAGACTCGTTCTTTCACTATCATTTATTTTCATGAGTAAACGTTGATAATGTTTCCTTTCTCCGTTGATTTGCTTTTTCATTCTGAAAAAGGTATAGTTTATAAAGTAATTAATGCAGTGGTAGGATGCTCGCCAACCACGCAATTGGTCCGAGGTTCGAATGCCGGTCTACGCACACCTTTTCTTACTTTTTTACATCGCTAAGCCAGTAATAAATCTGGTAAAGAGGAAAGATTCAGCATGAGGCTTGCAACCTCATCCTTTAAAAATAAACACCACTGCAACTGAAACTGCAAATCTCTATCTTGAAGCCTTATATCCCACTTGGAACCTGAAGGAGTAAAAATAATCTATGCGCGTAGAAGAAGACTGAGTGATTCTGTTCGGAGTACTGTTTACATCATTAGGATACTTCAAAAATCGGTGATGGAAAATCGAAACTGTAACTAGGCCGGCTGGAGGAAGATAAGAAGTTTATACTAGGGTTATGGAACAGTAAAAAGTTTCAGATGAAAATTATTGTTAATGGAAGAGTATGGATACAATTGTCAAAAAAATTATGAAGTAGGTGAAGAGAATAGACAGAATGTTAATTAAGCGATCGATGTTTATAAATGTAATACGAAAAATGCATAAAATAGTATTACTAATATCAAAATATTGATAACAGTTGAGATTGCATTTATACTCACGATAGAAGGAAGGAAGGTAGAAGTATTTTCTGTTTACACAAATCAGTGTTTTCCACCCGAATCGTCAGAGTAATTAAACAAATAGACCGTTTACGTAACGTATGCTTAGAAATGAAGTAGAATTAAAGAGTATGGAAAAAACACCATTAGCTAAATAAAGCAGGAATAGGACTAATTTCGGCAATTTCGAAATACTGCGAAAAGGCTTTCATTCACATAAAGAATGCATTAAATATTATAGAAGTGATGGAACTATCGTCTATATGGAGTAATTTAATAAAGGCTAAAATATTAGAAAAATATATCTTCAATGTAGGCATACAGAAAATCAAAACATGTGTAATACGTTGAATGTAAAATTCGCATATATAATGAAAAAAATTACAGGAGAGTGGATGTTATTGCAATGGGATCTCATTTGGGTCTTCTTTTCGTAGACTGTTTTATGATCCGTCTAGGAAACATAAAAAGTGCAGTTCCAGGTTCCAA